TAACCTAATTTTTACTCACATGTGCTCGGATGTTATGGCCGACACTTGTAACCATCTTTCAGTGTATTATTTATGGATGATTAAATGGTAATAGCTTATTAAGTACAAAATGACCATTTAGTGACTATAAATGTTTGAAAATGATATAAGGCTTGGTGTGTATATAAATATTGTGGTGTAATTGTCGAGATATTTGGAAATATTTATTTATGGTGGGGCACCCTACTATTCACACTGACCAATTTCCTATACCAACACCAGAAGAGGTATTTAGTAAATTGGTTGGTGGAAAGAAGTTCAGCAAAATAGACTTAAAGTGCGCCTACCAACAGATGTGACTGGATGAGAAGTCACAGGAACTCGTTATGATGAATACAATACAAGGGTTGTTTAGATATACACGTCTACCTTATGGAATTTCGTCTAGTCCAGCCATATGGCAGCGATTTATCAAACAATTGATGGTACATGCGCAATTGTGGACAATGTTCTAGTTACCGGGAAGGACGACAAAAAACATTTGCATAATTTGGAAAACGTATTCAAACGATTTAGCAAGTATAATCTACAAGTTAAGGCTGAAAAATGTTGCTTCATGAGAGAAAGTGTTGTATATATGGGACGTAAACTATCTGAGCAGGGTATGCAACCTACGGAAGATATGGTGAAAGCTATACATAAGGCTCCGACACCAACCAACGATACGGAGCTTCGCTCATGGTTGGGTATGGTGAATTTCCATGCACAGTTTCTAGCAAACCTATCATCGAAGATATTCTCTTTAAATGAACTGTTAGGCAATAAACCATGGAAGTGGTCGCAGAAGTGTGAATGTGCCTTTAACGAGATCAAGGAACTTATTAGCTCAGAGAAACTTTTAGCTCATTAAGATGCAACATTAACATTAACGCTTGCAACAGACGCATCGCCTTACGGATTAGGTGCCGTTATATTTCATACAGACAGAAATGGTAAACAGTGACCTATAGCGTATGCATCACATAGTCTGAATAAACCTGAAAAGGGTTACGCCCAGTTGGATAAAGAGGCTTTATCAGTTATCTTTGGATTAAAAAGATTCCGAACGTATTTGTATGGTCGTTTCTTCCGGATTCTATCAGATCATGGATCACCTCAACGTATCCTGGGACCAAAGACTGCAATCCCGACTCTTACAGCACAACGCTTACAACGGTGGGCAATACAGTTATCTGCTTTCGATTACGAACTCCATTATATTTCGTCAAAGGATAATGTCTTTGCAGATGCTTTATCAAGGTTACCATTGCCTTGTACGGGTAAATCGTGTGATCTTGAAGAGACTGTTTTCAATACACGTGAAAAGATTCTTGATAGTTTCCCAGTGACAAGTAAAGAGATCAGGCCTGCTACATGCGTTGATAAGGTTACCTCTCGAGTTTTAGATTTTATTCAGAATGGATGGTCGATAGAGGTTCAAGATGAACGCTCGAAACCTTATTTTCAACGGAAGCAGGAAACTGACGATGGAGCAAGATTGTATTTTATGGGGATTAAGAGTGTTCCAGAGAAATATCAACAAGATCTTCTAAACGAGCTACACGCATCTCATCCAGGTATGGTTTGTATGAAGGAGTTGGCACGAAGCTACGTATGGTGGCCCAACATCACTCAAGAGATAGAAACTTTAGTACTTCATTGCTCAAGCTGTCAACAAACACGCAACTCTCCATCAGTTGCTCCCTTAATGCCCTGGATATGGCCTAGTGCACCGTGGTATAGTGTTCACATCGATTACGCTGAGAAAAATGGACAAAATTTTCTAATCATTGTTGACTTATATTCTAAATGGCCAGAAGTGATTACATGAAAAGTACAACTTCAACCGCAACGATTACTGCATACGAGACTTATTCAGTAAATATGGCATACCGTATCAAATTGTGATGGATAACGGAACTGAGTTTGTTAGTGAGGAGTTTGAAACACTATTAAAGAGCAGTGTCAAACAAGTAAGAGTCTCACCAAATCATGCAGCCAGAATTGGTGCAGAGGAACGCATGGTTCAGTCGTTCATACGTGGACTTGCTGCTAGTAAATCTAGTGGCCGGACCTTACAATAAATTATTGACGCATTTCTACTCGCATATCGTTCTACACGACCCGCCACTACCGGATTTACTCCTTCCAAACGCCCTTTCCATCCGTCCGTCGTCCACAATTTCTTGTGAACGCTCTAACACCAAAACTTATGATCCGATTGTTTTAAAATTGATATGTTGTTCACATTGGTGAGATGAAGAAGCCTATTTAATTTCAATAATTTCCTTTTATTACATCTAGAGTTATGGCACTTATATCACTTTGTTGGACATTGTGAAAAGGTTATCATCCGATCTTTGTGAAATTTATGTACATTATTTAAATTAGTGAAACGAAGAAGCCTATTGAATTTCAGCAATTTCCGTTTATTACATCTAGAGTTATGGCCCTTGTTTCACTTTATTGAACCTTGTGAACGCTATAACGTCAAAAGTTATCATTCGATCTTTCTGAAATTTATATGCATTATTTAAAATAGTGAAACCACGAAGCCTATTGAATTTCAACAATTATTAATAATTACCTCTAGAGTTATGGCCCTTGTTTCACTTTGTTCAAACTTGTTAATGCTCGATTGATGAAAGTTATCATCCAATATGTATGAAATTTATATGCATCATTAAAATTTGTGAAACAGAGGTCTATTGAATTTCAGCAATTTCTATCAGTTATTTCTAGATTTATGGCCCTTGTTTTACTTTTACAATTTCTGTAAACTACTTCCAAAGTTGAGGCCCTTGTTTCAGTTTGTAAAACCTTGTGAACCCTTGTGACAAAAATTATAATCTGATCTGTATGGAACTGTCTTGTAAAGGCCCCCAATTACCTACAAAGGAATAAATATGCGACAAATCTTGTCGACCGCTCAGACAATTTAGCTGCTGTGGGCGTATGTTTCATTGCCTGGCAACCTATCTTTAGGACTTGAGTTAAGGACAAGATTATCGCTTGTAAAACCTAATTTGGAAGAAAAAGTTTGAAATAAACAAAGTGATCAAAAATTACATCATGATAAGAGATCCTGGTCTAGTCAAAGATTTAAGGAAGAAGGAGACATGGTGGCCAGGAACTGTCACAGAAAGGACAGCGCCGAAATCATATGTGATGCGGCATAGCTAATTGAGTCGGTTGTCGCAAAGCTAGCTTCCGAGAAAGAGTGCAATAATGGTTCAGTAGGTCAAAATTTTCAAAATTCACATTTCCTCATTAAAAGTCACATAAGTACCTCTTTCGTCGATTAGAAGTTTAATTTTCATGAAAAGAACATCTTTAGTGTTCAAAAATCGCATTTTGTAAAAGGCAATCCGTAAAAAAGTCATTAATTATCTCGGAATAAAGCAAAACAATCGTTCATTTAGTTGCTGTTTTTGTAAAATATCCAAGCGGGGAATTCCCAACATACGGGTATTAGTATAAAGAGGGGACTTCCCCTTGCTATCTGTGGCACTCATTATAATAATTCTACGTCATTATGAGCTAAAAAAAGACCGGGAATCCTCATAACTTTTATAAACAATCTCCGGTGTTGTCATGCTAAGGTCACCATGACCCTTAAATCCCGGTCTCCGATTGGTCGATTGCCTTTCTGCGATGTAATTCAAGATGACAGCTCCCATTGTTGTGAAATCAATCTCTTCAAAACATTGAATTTTTTACGTATTGTGAATAAACTGTTGATAAATTTTGAATGAATATTCTTAAGAACATTAGATAGTATTGTTATATAGTGACCGTTGAGTCACGCGCAGTACATTGTGGGATGTATTCAAGATGACAGCACCCATGGTATGAAAACAACAGTTTTTCTGTACCGTATTGTGCATAAACTATTGATAAATTTTGAATGAATATTCTTTTAAAGAACATTAGGTAGCATCGTTATATTGACCGTTTTTTACATATTGTGAATAAACTATTGATAAATATTGAATGAATATTCTTAAGAACATCAGGTAGTACTTATCGTTATAAGTTATAGGCCTATAGTATTGACATACGTGAATATGGCTCTTTCCAAGGAGCGAAAAGTAGCCGATAGTCTGAATCAGTTGTCGGCTAGTAATTTGCATGGTGCTGCTAGTGCATCGCAGTGGAATGAGTTGATGTCCACATACTTCTGTGACGGTGAAGGCAGTGACTTGGGTGATTCAGAGGATGACGATGGCTTAGATGAAATGGAAATTGATGACAAATCTGAAAATGTAGGCCTACACGACCAGGGTGACACTGACAGTGTGAATGAAAATGTCGTTGATGTCAATGATGATGATCAGCATCAAGACCCCTTGGTTGTTGATGAGATGCAGTAAATGAAATGCAGGAGTTGCGTCCTAGTCCTGATAAAGAACAGGAGTATGAGATGATCAAAAACTTCACCTGCGAATGTAAACTAAATGATGGGAAACCATGTTACACTGTTCTGAGTTCGGACTCTGTCTATGAATTGAGAATGTGTATGTCGGCCCTCACTGATTTTGAGAAAGATCTAATTCTCCTTGGGAAAATCAGCTGGTTTTTTTCCAACGGGAACTCCACACGCTGTTCGAAAAGGAAAGAACAAAAACAGAGACAACACCAGTGTACAAGTTACTTCATGCACAGACATCGAATATGCCGTGACACATTCAAGTTCATTCGTTGGTAATGTGGAGTTTTTTATTTCAAAGTAAATTACAATATTTTCAATAATATTCAAAATTAAAAACACGAATTAGAATTCAATATTGATAAATTATAGTTATGCTGTTTAATCTTGTCATGAAACTATAGGATCCTAATATCCAATATGATTATAAATTATTAACATTTTATAATCAGTACACAAATGAAATAGTGTACTATGGTTTTGGGTACCATATTATCCAGCGTGGTTTCCCCTTGTCAGTGATGCAGGACGGAAGGCCTGACAAGGACAGCTGTCTAGTCATTCGGATGGGACGAAAAACTGAGGTCCCGTGTACACATTGGCATGCACGTAAAAGATCCCTTGGCAGTTGGAATTCGATATAAGAGTAGGTCATAGTGCCGCTGCTCGGGCAAAATTTCCCTCATAGCACACTGTATGGCATATGCCCGTCTTCATTAGCCCAGTTTGGAGCAGAACAGTAGGACGTTAAACCCCATTTCATTTCATTTCATTTAATAGAATTAAACAACTTGTCCAACTTGTCTTTTAGCAAGTTCTATCGCCATTTCGCTGATACATTGTCATGTGTAGAAAGCGACCTTCACCGATCATGTCTTTACATCCGTATAGGAACATAAAAATTAATGGTAATCATTAAGAGTAGGCCTACTAAAGTTATGATATTTTGATAAAAACTGATGAAATGTGAAAGATCTTATTGTCAATAGGCCTACAGTATAGTTAGTTCCTGATCTCCTGGCAACTTTTGTTACAAAGTTTTTAACCTTTTCATCTTTTATTTCAGTATCAGTCAGAATAAACTCACAGCCATACTCAAGCACTATAAAGAAGAAGGATTGACCCTTCGGTTCAAGAAAAGTGGTGGTAGGCGTGCTACAGATCCAAGGCTACTGACGCATGAAGACGTGACTCGTGTTATATCTTTCATAATAAATTTCGCAGAGGCCCATTCAGTATCACTAGCAGGGAGAGTTCCAGGCTATAAACGGTTTGATATAAAGCTCCTGCCGTCCCATTACTCCAAGACCAGTATCTTTAAACTGTACACATCTGCAATGGAAACAGCAGGTATGTATCTGAGTCGTCTGTATGTTCAGGGTTGGCGGCTACACTAGGGCTGTGCACATTGTATCTTAAGCTCTGTCATTGAGTCAACTAGCGTGATTTCGATTTCCCGGTTGTACGTCACAAGGAGTAGGATTACCTGTCTAACCTCGTGGGTTTACACTGGGTCCTCCATGTTTCCTCCCACTACTAAAGACCCCTACGTGGAAGCGAATTATTGAAATAAAATTGAACCATGTGTTAATCCCGAAATGACCTAGTTTGTGTTGAGTGGACGTCAAACCCCATTTTTATCCCTCTCTTGTTTTTATACCACATCAACCCGTGCAGCGCTGGGTCATCCACTAGTATGATTCGGCTAGTGTGTCTGCCACTTTAGGAATACATGTATTTTCATACTGTCCAAGATAATCATTATTATCATTACTTTTTCAGGTCACCGAGCTGTCAAGACACGATCTTTCAGAAGTTTATGGGGGACACTGCTGCCATACATCGTACAATCTCGGCCAATGACAGACTTGTGCTGGGTATGTCAACGTAACAACTCGGCTGTGTATCGAAGTGCAAATATGTCTGATGAGGAGAAGTCGAAGCGTATCCATGCGCAAGAGTTCCACATCAAGAGGGTCACCCTGGAGCGATCTCTCTATCAGGACATGGTTCATGCTTCTAAGGAAACTATACAGGATACTGGATTAGTGCTGGGGAAAAACGCACCGAACTCTAGGAATCTAATAATGCATTATTCTTTTGATTACGCACAGCAGGTGCATTACCCTTCAAACCCCATGCAGCCAGGCCCACTTTACTTCCTCACTCCAAAGAAATGTGGCTTGTTTAGTGTTACCTGCGAAGGCTTGCCACAGCAAGTAAACTATCTTATTGATGAGGGTATGTGCATTTCGAAGGGTTCCAATGCAGTCATAAATTTAAAATTTCTTGATACGATTGGACTCAGAAAAATGCACATGCAATTGCACTGTGACAATTGTAGTGGGCAAAAAACAAGAATAACATGATGCTGTGGTGTCTGTTGAGGCGAGTTCTTTGTGGACTGCACAATACTATATCCCTCAACTTCCTTATAACTGGACATTCAAAATTTGCTCCTGATTGGTGTTTTGGTTTGATTAAACAAAGGTACAAGAGGACAATGGTGTCCTGTTTGGATGACATCGTTGATGTTGTAACTTCAAGTACTAAGAAAGTCAATATTGCCCAGAAAGTTGGCAGTGAAGGTGGGAAGATTTTTGTACCTCGGAGGGACTGGAATACATACCTAAGACCATTTTTCAAATCACTACCTGGAATTAAAAAAACACAACATTTCAGGTGAGTACACAAGCTACATGTAATTATACTATGTCAGTCTTGTTTGAAATTAAGATCAGCGCAACAGTGAGATGGCAGGTGTACATGATCCTGAAGCCATTCTTCCTGGAATTTTAAAGCACATTAAAAAGCATGTATTCAGGTGAGTAGGCGAGTCTGATTTGAAATTAAGATCAGCATTCTGCTACTGAATTAAAACATTGAAAGGAATGTGATGGAATGAAATTGCTTGAAATCTGAAGAAAATGTTTTGCTTAAAACTCACCCTGGTCATCGAAATTCTGTCTTTCCAGGTTTGATTCTGAGCATCCCGGCTGCGTTTTCTACAAGGAATTTTCAGACTCTGGGGAACAGATGGTCTGTCTCCTAAAGAACCTGACTGGCCGTCCTCCTCTTGAGCGACCGAATCAACTGCTGCCTACTGGCCTCGATGACAAACGCCAGAACTACTTGTTCAAGTCCATCCGAGAGTTTTGCACCATGCCAGTAAATAAAGTTGCAGAGGAATAAAGTGACAAAGAGGAGCCATTGGAACCTGCAGCTGGCCAAGAGTCGTAAAGACCCATGTGTCTGGACATTCTTGGACAACTGGACCTCCCTTGTGCTTGTGTGTGAAATGCTGAAACATGTCCCATTCATGAAACTATCTTGTTTGATTTCAAGTTTTAGTACTTTTGATTTTTGATTATAATATTTTCCAAATATTTTTATTCCAGAAATCTGTTTAAGACAAAAAAGGTTGGGGGGTGGTTGCTTACTGCTTGACTGTTTTGTTCTTAATTATCCTAAAAGTAAATTAGTCTGTAAATCAGATGAGGTTGTTTAACGTGTATGTTTATTTCCAGAGTGAATACCGGTATATCAAACAATATATCAATAAAAACAATTATTGTATATAGAATAAAATATTAATAAAGTTAATGAATAGTTAATAAGTTAATAAGATGTCTATCTTTGTATGCTTTATTGTAAATTGTACATATACATATATTGTCACATGCATTATTTAAAGAAATGAAATTATAAAACGAGAACTAAAAAATATGACACAGTATTAAATGTAACGTTACTTACCTGAAAGTAATTTAGTCTTGAAATCAGATGAGAGTGTTCAACATGTATGTTTATTTCCAGAGTGAATATACATGTAGATGTTGTTGTTCTAGGTGTTTAATGTCTGCTTCCACCAAAGGTGATATCACAGATAATTTGTCTTACTTTTATTATCTTAGTGCATGTGAAGAGTCTTTTCTGTGGGAGTAAACCCATGAGTGTGAGAAGGTGCCCCTATCTCCAAGCCACATATACTCACACCAGGGATCGAAACCACAATTGCAAGCCAGAGGTGACCGACCAGCTAGAGTTCGAAGCGTGATACTCTAGGCCATCCCATCCCATCTATATATGTTGCACCCTGCTGAGTTTATATACATATTGGAAATTAGATCTGATTTAGAGCATCTTAAGTTTAAACAATTAAAGATACATTATGTAAGATTTAGATAAAGAGCTGGCCATTCTTGCTATAATAGCTCACAAATAGATAATACAAAATAAAAATATTGAATATTTCATGCAAATTACTCGATTCTGAGTCAAGTTATCACTGTTTGTTGTAGTTTTGACTAGATGTGTGCATTGTTGTAACCAGGGCACTGGTATATTCAAGACATGGCCTGGCTTTCCGATTTTTAAATTTAATTTTTAAATGACGAACCAATCTAATCTAGTTAAAATCTTGAGTATCTGATGGTATCAAGAGTTGATTTGGTCTTGTTTTGTTAATAAATGCCTAATTAATATTTTATATAACATTTAAGGCCAAAAGAAAGACCTGCAATAGGCATTTTAGCTCTTACGTAATGCATGTTAAACACAATAGCTTTAATTAGACAGCTGGACAAGGTATGGTCTTGTCGTTAATTATAAGAGTACAACAGTGAGTGAGCTTAAATTATATATCTCTAGACTTTAAGGTAATTAAAACAATGAATTTACAAATGAAATGAAATGGGGTTTAACCTTATTTATTTTACAACTAGTCCAGCAAGCCTGAGGTTTGATTAACGTCTATAATGAATGAATATGTGTAGTAATAATAAAATTAAAATATATAATATTTCACAAGTAATGTTGCATGTTCATGTAGAGTTATAATTTACTCAATTACAGATGTATAAGCTTGCATCCTGATGTTGATGAGGTGCGAGATAAAATTATACTGTTTGAATTTTAAAAGTTGACCGAAACACATTAAATGTTATTAATACAATAAAAGGACTTTTGTTTTAGTCTGGATTAACCTAGCCTACTACTTACTAGACTAGCTCGATATACGGTACTACGTACTCGAGATAAGATTTTGTTTACATTTTAAACAGTAGTGAAATTAACACAATAAATTAAACGAGAATTCAACAGTCCGTGCACGAAGTGCCGTCAGTCAGTGCCAATACGGCGATGATTTAATATTTGTAAGTTGAGTGTTCGTTAACCCGTCCACAAGCAAACCTGTCCACAGTTAAGGTAATACCGGTACTTGACTTGTATATTATTTAATTGATTAGAAAAGATCAGTTTTACTCATTGGTTGTTTATATTGTTTTATTTACCTAATAATCAACTAGCTTGGCTCGCCATCACGACAGCGATTAGTTCGAGTTCAAATTCTTTATTCCGTTAAGCCAAAGACTCATCAGGTATAACATATAGTACAAACAAATAAATAAATACAATATGTACAAAAACAATATAGTTCACCGATGTTTTTGTAATAAAGAACAATAGTATTGTTTGTTGATTAGCGTTATGATTTTAGACAAAATGGTAAGTTCACCAATGTTTTTGTAATAAAGTAGACCCGTATTGTTTGTTAATTGACTTTATCCCATGATTTAAAAAATTGGCGATGGTTAATATTGGGTCAAAAATAATTCCTTAAATTGCGCCGGAGCCCCTTTTAGATAAATTGAATTCGCATAAAAACAACAAAGAGTGGCTCGTGCGATTTTATTCTTTGATCTTTGATACACGGGACATTTCTGTTATTCAAACAAATCTGCACGAGAATGACAACATACAAGTTGACAGTTACCATTGATTTGGGGTTCATGTAGAATAGGCTCTTCTATCGAGCCTACAGTTATTCTTTTCTAAAATAAAATGAGTGCCTTGGATTTTTGTGTGGATTTGATAGCGGTTATACTTAACTAATATTCTCTGACATCGGAGACTTGTGTCGCGTTCATTTCATTTTTGCGGTAAGTACGAGCTTCTTATGTCTGATTTGAAAGCGCATTCGACTCCCGTTGCAAGTTCTATTTGTCTTATTTCTATTTGTAAGACCGGTAACCTAAATACCGTTATAGTTTGCAATTTTAAAGTCTATCTTTGCCATGATTCGAGAGTAATTCTTAACTATGCACTCTAAACATGTATAGTCTTATGCATACGTGTCCTTCAAAATGTACTAGACATGCAGCTTTACATGACTGGTTGGAAATGTAACCGCATATATCGTGCAGAATATGTGAACACGCGTGTTCTTACTATACACCTTTACCTAACGCGGTCCGTATTATTAACGAAAATATTCAACATTCATAACATTGTGGCAGTATATGGTTTTGACATCGATTGTTTATGACAAATATAACCGTTAATTTTGCATGTAAAATTACACCAAGGCCTATCGTGTCCCGTATAACTTTCACGCTCTCCGTACTCTACGTACTCGAGATAAGATTTTGTTTACATTTTAAACAATAGTGAAATTAACACAATAAATTAAACGAGAATTCAACAGTCCGTGCACGAAGTGCCGTCAGTCAGTGCCAATACGACGATGATTTAATACAACCAGCAGTCCGTAAACCGGGTCCAGAATCTTTTCGGACAACTGGGCCGGTATTCATGATGAAAATACCGGAACGAGAGCTATTTTATCGGTAATGACCGACGGCTTTCGCCTGGACTGATACTGCGATGCAGACCTAATATACAGGAATTTTCATTTTTGGTCGCCATCTTGGATTTCCACCATCTTGGAGTTTTGAAATCAATTTTCAGTCCATTATTTGATTTCAGCGACCCCAAGAACCCCATGTTTGGCACAACACAAGCCATATCCCATCTATACTTCCCAAAATAATAGTAAATCGTGACATTTTGTCCGCCATCTTGGATTTCCACCATCTTAGATTTTTGATATTGTATTTTGTGCCCATATTTGAATTCGGCGTGCCCAAAAATCCAATGTTACACACCATGAAAGCTGTGTAAATGGCGATCCAGACATAATGTAGAGGAATTTTTATACGCCCACATTTTCATGTGGACGTATTATGCCGTCGCCCCTGTCCGTCCGTCTGTCCGTCCGTCCACAATTGTTTGTGGACTCTCTACAGGTCACAATTCTTATCCGATTTTGACGAAACTTGAAATATAGGTTTATCCCCAAAAGATCTTGGCTGCTTCCGATATTGGCATGTATCGGATCGAAACTTCATGGATTATGGCCCCTGTTTGTACGAAAAATCACGTTTTTAGCTTGTGGACCCTATAGAGGTCACAATTTTTATCCGATTTAAAAAACTGTTCTATTATATCACCGTTACACCCTAAGGATGACTGAGTTCGAATTTCGTGAAAATCGGCCCAAAATTGACAGACAAAATGGCCGCCGTTCGTTCCCAAATAGCGTAAGAATATGGTATATCAAGGTTGTGGACCCTATAGGGGTCACAATTTTTATCCGATTTTGTTGAAACTTGAAATGTAATTTTATAACCCAAAGATCTCGGTTCCTTTTGATATTCGTGCATATCGGACCGTAATTTCCTGAATTATGGCCCCTGATTGTACGAAAAATCACGTTTTTAGCTTGTGGACCCTATAGAAGTCATAATTTTTATCCGATTTAAAAAACCGTTCTATTATATCACCGTTACACCCTAAGGATGACTGAGTTCGAATTTCATGAAAATCAACCCAAAATTGACAGACAAAATGGCCGCCATTCGTTCCCAAATAGCGTAAGAATATGGTATATTAAGGTTGTGGACCCTATAGGGGTCACAATTTTTATCCGATTTTGTTGAAACTTGAAATGTAAGTTTATAACCCAAAGATCTCGGTTCCTTTCGATATTCGTGCATATCGGACCGTAACTTCCTGAATTATGACCCCTGATTGTACGAAAAATCACGTTTTTAGCTTGTGGACCCTATAGAAGTCATAATTTTTACCCGATTTAAAAAAACGTATTATTATATCACCGTTACCCCCTAAGGATGACTGAGTTCGAATTTCGTGAAAATCGGCCCAAAATTGACAGACAAAATGGCCGCCATTCGTTCCCAAATAGCGTAAGAATATGGTATATCAAGGTTGTGGACCCTATAGGGGTCACAATTTTTATCCGATTTTGTTGAAACTTGAAATGTAAGTTTATAACCCAAAGATCTCGGTTCCTTTCGATATTCGTGCATATCGGACCGTAACTTCCTGAATTATGACCCCTGATTGTACGAAAAATCATGTTTTTAGCTTGTGGACCCTATAGAAGTCATAATTTTTACCCGATTTAAAAAAACGTATTATTATATCACCGTTACACCCTAGGGACGACTGAATTCGAATTTCGTGAAAATCGGCCCAAAATTGACAGACAAAATGGCCGCCGTTCTTTCTCAAATAGCGTAAGAAAATGGTATATCAAGGTTGTGGACCCTATAGAGGTCACAATTTTTATCCGATTTTGTTGAAACTTGAAATGTAAGTCTATAACCCAAAGATCTCGGTTCCTTTCGATATACGCGCATATCGGACCGTAATTTTCTGAATTATGGCCCCTGATTGTACGAAAAATCATGTCATAATTTTTATCCGATTTAAAAAAACGTATTATTATATCACCGTTACACCCTAAGGACAACTGAATTTGAATTTCATGAAAATCGTCCCAAAATTGACAGACAAAATGGCCGCCGTTATTTCTCAAATAGCGTAAAAATATGGTATATCAAGGTTGTGGACCCTATAGAGGTCACAATTTTTATCCGATTTTGTTGAAACTTGAAATATAAGTTTATAAACCAAAGATCTCGGTTCCTTTCTATATTTGCCCATATCGGACTGTAACTTCGTGAATTATGGCCCCTGATTGTACGAAAAATCATGTTTTTAGCTTGTGGACCCATTAGAGGTCATAATTTTTATCCGATTTAAAAATAGTTATGTTACGTTTGTATGTGAATTACTCATGTTGCTAAAGACATAGCATTGATAGTTTTGTTCAGAAAAACAAGACTATACATGTATATTACGTATCAGTTTATTAACATTTATCATTTTTTTAAATTAGGAAGAAGGAGTGTAGTGTATTTAGACTCTATAATAATGTCACAGTCAGTTGTGTCACTCCTGCTCCATAGGCATTACCTTAAGAGTTGTCTTGATGTCACATGACCTCTAGCATACCATGCTTGTTGTTATGGACGGTGACATATTGTATTTCCCTCTATATTGAATAAACCTTATAATATGGAATTAAGATGGTAATATTTAACAGTGACGCCACTGGCGTCTGAGGGTATCAAGAGAGTTTTTGATAATTGGCAAAGTTGTTTTTACGGAAGGTGTCAGTTTATTAACATTTATCATGTTTTTAAATAAGGAAGAAGGAGTGTAGTGTATTTAGACTCTATAATAATGTTACAGTCAGTTGTGTCACTCCTGCTCCATAGGCAGTACCTTAAGAGTTGTCTTAATGTCACATGACCTCTAGGATACCATGCTTGTTGTTAGGGACGCTGACCAGTGATGGGATTTTGCCCGTATATTCCGGACTTGTCCGATTCTTTTTTCCAAACGCCCAAAATTGTCCGACCGGGAATATGCCCAATCGGACATCAAGACATGGTGAATAATATTCAAAATTCCGAAATTAATATAGTTTACTGAGTGTATAACTACCACTCAACCAGATTATCGTCGATAATAAGCTGGGTTGATTAGGTAATTAAGTGATCAACGTATTTATCGTGTTATATGGTCAATAAACCTACCTTGATTAACTACTTAATCTGCCTTGATTGACTGACTTAATCCTTTGTCGGACAATTCATCAATCTAATCTTCAACAGAAGCCATTGTTTCCACTTTGTCGGACTATTCATCAATCCATTATAATTTTAATCTTCGTGTTAACCTTGTGGTTTCTGCATTGTTGGACATTTTAATCGCATTGATGTGAGCCAACAATATGTATAAACTAATCATAGAAGTCACATATTGTAAGAGTATATAACGCCCAGATCAATAGACAGTCATTATAATTCGTCTGCGATATCACTTCGGTGGAAGCGTGCGTTAAATAAAGCTATTTCACACGCACATATATCCAAAAAATATTACACATTTTTAGCACGCGGTTACAGCACTCGGGGGAAACCTCGTCAGATTCCGTTACTCTACATCTAGCTTCGGCTGCATGACGGTAAGTGATATGTACCTACGAACTTGCCGGTTTTAGAAAGAAGTTATTAAAATTGCGTTGTTCGAAGCGTGTTTAGAATTTTCAGAGCAAAGTTGTCCTTATTTGAAGAAAATCTGATTAGGTACATATCACTTACCGTCATATAGCCGAGGCTAGATGTAGAGTAACAGAATCTGCCGAGGTTTGCCGAGTGCTGAACCGGTATTAGAAATCTCGCCGAGACGTGTGAAATAATGAAATGAATATGTGACTAAATTCACGCTTCTAATGTCGAAGAAAAGAATCTATTTTGATGGCATATTCTCAGATTTACGATCATATTTTGAATGGGGTTTATGTTTTTAAATAAAGAAATAAGTAATCTAGGCAATGTTGACGAATATGTCGATTGCAATAGTGTAAGTACTTAATTGTTTTAGACGATAGCGCGTGCTAGAGTAGAATGCGATTATTTAGCGGATTATGTCATTCCTCGAGATATCATATTCTTACCCTCTGTACATAAGTCGTAACGGAGTATAAGCCGAATGCCGGACTTCTGCTGAAAAATGTAGTGACTTATGACCCGCAAATACGGTAATTTTGGAGGAATTTGAAACAGTACAGATCGGCAGCAGTCGGCACGCTTTCATTCTATCGTATTATGAATTTTGTAGGAATATTACTGACTTAAATTTGAATACCGTACAGGAATTAAATATGAAAAATAACG